TTCGCAGTTTTTTTATTCGTTAACCGGATAATTTGCCTCCTGTCACATAAAAAAAAAACTTTTTGGATAACTTTTACCTGAAATCTGGGTGTTTGTAATAAGCTTTTTGTAATTAAATTTTCCAACTGCATAAATAAAAGGTTGTTAAAATGCATGATTGAAACAATTGAAATGTTACAATGTAGACATTTCTCATCCATCAACTGGTTATCAAACTCAATGATAACTCGAGAAGGAAGCTGTGAACTAAATCGACCCACTTTATTTATGACTTCATCCTTTCGGTCTGGATCTTGCCTAGATATCAATCTGAGCCGTCCATCTCAATTGGTGCTGATACGGGTGCCATTTGAACCTGCCTGATGGGTAATTGTCTATCTAGATTCTAGACAAACCATTTAACACTGATTCTTTTATTAAGGTGGATTGGGGGAGATATTTTACTATTGAGACAATTGGCTTTATTCAAAATGACAGTTATTTGAAACAATGTAAGTTATTGGTCTTCTACTTGAACTTGGATTTAAACTTTGTAGTACTTTAACAACAAAACTAGGCTTAGTGTAAAGTAGAAGATTCTATAAAAATAAAAGGCTGTTTGCCTACACTGTGACTTTTTAACCGACTTCAAAAAAGGAGGAGGTTATATGTTCGACTGTATGTATATTTTTTTCTATGTATGTTCACCGATTACTCCGTCAATTGTGGACCGATTTTCAAAATTCTTTTTTTGTTCGATAGGGTACACTTCTGAGGTGGTCCCATTGTCACCAAGTTAGGATCTGATGATGGGATCCTAGGGAAATCGAGGGCAACCCTCAAATTTTATAGGCACGTATATCGTTTTTCAAACTTTTTCTTAATTTACTATTCAAGTATTTGCTCCTNGAATTAATATTTATGTAGGTATACCATGATTGATACTTTTGGAGTCGGTGCAGGCAAACTTTACATGTTTCATAATCTTTTAGTGTCACTTGTGGTCTAAACTGAATAAATATTTTTTGATTTGATTTGATTTGATTTGATTTTTTTTTTTTATAATTGACATTTAAAATCGCTTGGGCTACTCCCGTGACCTTCACCAGATCTTAGACCCACCTAGAGGGGGGCCTGTCCACACTACATCTTCCGACCCGTGGTTGAACTTTTCTGCCCCAGCTGCCATCAGCTCTGCGAGCTATGTGTCCCGCCCACTGCCACGATTTTATACATTATCAGCATGATTTGCAGAGTTTTATGTGACAAAAAGACTAACGGGACTATTCCCACCTCTCGTTGCCACCGTTGCAACTCCTGTGTAGCCAGGATCTACAGCTTGACCTCCATTAAACCCAACCAGTGAAGGTCAAGTTTGTCCCGGGGGAAAGTTAAACTGTCACTGGACCCGCAACGAAATTAATCAGAAGAACATAGGTGGAGTTCAAAGTTAAGGTTGGACAAGTTAAGGACAACAAGACTGTAATCGCACTAGATATTAAGGGCTATATTTCACCGGGACACCATGGCGGCGCAACCAGTCGCCGCTACCAACAAAATGTATACAGCTCTATAGAGAGTTACTCACCTGGTGTCCGTTTGGTTGCGCAAAGCTGCATACATTTTGTTGGTAGCGGCGACTGGTTGCGCCGCCATGGNGGCGTCCACCACGGGTTCGTCAAATACTGGGGAACTCGGCCACGGACCCAGTAAAATCAGTTCAAAAACGAAGAAAGAACTGTTAACGACTGTATTCTGTGCCTCTTTTATCTAATCTTAAAAAAAAAATTGTGAATATAGTGTGACTAAATCCACATTATAATTTATTCTCGTTTATTATGATTTTCAGTGACCGTAATTAGCAAAATATAAAAAGAAAAGATTTCGACTGTCCACTGTCGAACTTTGGCCTTAATATCTCTTATTTCCCAATCTGTGATTAGCAATTTGTATTTCATTATGCCTAATTACCGCAAGCTGAAGGCTTTGTTTCGCCATCTAGTGAAATACGTGTCAAAATTAAATCTGACACTAATCTAATAGGGGCTCAAAAATAATTGAACACAATTTTGCTGATCAATTTAATTAACTTCTTTTGAACAATGACTAATATATTGTTGTTATAGACAAGATTTAATATTAAATTAATTAGTTACTACAATTATCGAGAATGCCGATCAATTGTTAATTGTATACAGTCATTGTCTGTCAATATTATTATATGTTGAACTAAAAATATTGCATTAAATATGGCTCTGTGAACTATTTTTGTTCAAAAGAAACAAAAAATAAATACCTAAACCGTGTCCAATTCAATAATTGAATTAGTCAAAACTTGATCATATTATTAAGTATCACCTAATTTACCTAAGTCATATAAATTAAATTGGTAAATGTATGTAATATTAACCCATCAAAAACAATACTTGTCAAAAAAACCAAGTCTCGCAACTCAGTTGTTCTACGGTAAAAAGTTGTGAGATCCATGTAATACCAAGTCCAGGCCAGGAATTCTTTAACGTTTTACATAAATTATTGACTTGGCCATCGCACTAAATAATTTAATTTACACGTGTTTTCATGCGATGGCCAAGTCAATATATTTATGTAAAACGTTAAAGATTTCCTGGCCTGGACTTGGTATTACATGGATCTCACAACTTTTTACCGTAGAACNGCATAAGTATGTACAGTCAGCGTCAAATAGTTCATGACACCCAAAGTAGCCAAAAAGTTAGCAACATAGCTTGTCGTTTCGGGTGTGTTGCTACAGCCGAGGTCACAAGAAGACTGGTGGCTCGCGGTGTTCGACGCGGCATCATCAGGCGGTCTGAAAGATTTTCAGTTACCCTCAATTTTTTACTATTAAATTGCCAGTTACTATTGTAAATCCTTAGATTATACTATGTAGTGTCTCCTGGGGTTAACATGGCATTAACCATTAGTAAGCCGCCATGCTGTGCTCACTAGACCGTGGGGGTAAACGAACTGGTTCAATACAAACAGACTGATAATGGCTTTATGTGAAAACCAATGGTGCGATATCTCCTAAAGAGAATTTACGTGAATATTTTTATTCATATTCATTCATTCACTACTTACTAGCTGGAGGGAAGCCGAACTTTAACTTCGAATTCCTCCTATGTTCTTCTGATTAATTTCGTTGTGGGTCCAATGACAGCTTATCTTTCCCCCGGGACCAACTTGACCTTCACTGGTTGGGTTTTTATTGGCGGCCAAGCTGTAGATCCTGGCTACACAGGAGTTGCAGCGGCAGGAACTAGAGGTGGAAATTTAATAGTCCCGTAGTCGACCATCATGAAAATGCAGTTTAACCTTTTGCAGGGCATTTTTTTACCTTCATAAGAATTTTCCTTAGACTCCCACGAAATGAATGCATTTAGCATATTTAAATGTAAATATTTTCTAGTGGTTTTCTAACCATATTGGGGGATCGAAGACGTGGTAGCAAAGTCTGAAACGCAGTTTGATTGGTTAGTCGGAAAATTTTAACCTTTTGGAAAACTTTTACCTAAATCTGGGTTCGTGTAATCAGCTTTTTGTAATTTTCCAACTCCATAAATAAAAAAGTTGTTAAAATTATTGAAACAATTGAGGTGTTACAATGTTTTTTTTTTAAAGATTATTAGTAATTTGTATTGCCCAAATTACTAATAGTCCCAGTTACGAGTGGGCTCACCACAATAGTCGAGCGGCGGTGGGATTCGAACCCGCGTTCCTCGAAATCGAGTCGGCCACTCCGACCCCTTCACCGTTCGGCTATCGTGGCTATATTGAGTACTAGCTTTCCGCCCGCGGCTTCGCCCGCGTGGAATTTTGTCTGTCACAGAAAAACTTTATCGCGCGCGTCCCTGTTTCAAAAACCGGGATAAAAACTATCCTATGTTCTTTCCCGGGACTCAAACTATCTCTATGCCAAATTTCATCAAAATCGGTTGCGAGGTTTAAGCGGGAAAGCGTAACAGACAGACAGACAGACAGACAGACAGACAGACAGACAGAGTTACTTTCGCATTTATAATATTAGTTGGGATGTAATGTAGACATTTCTCGTCCATCAACTGGTTATCAAACTCAATGATAACTCGAGAAGGAAGCTGTGAACTAAATCGACCCACTTTATTTATGACTTCATCCTTTCGGTCTAGATCTTGCCTAGATATCAATCTGAGCCGTCCATCTCAATTGTACTGATACGGGTGCCATTTGAACCTGCCTGATGGGTAATTGTCTATCTAGCTAGACAAACCATTTAACACTGATTCTTTTATTAAGGTGGATTGGGGGAGAGAATATTTTACTATTGAGGCAATTTATTCAGACTGACAGTTATTTGAAACTTTGTAAGCTATTGGTCTTCTACTTGAACTTGGACTTAAACTTTATAGTACTTTAACGACGAAACTAGGCTTAAAATAAAGTAGAAGATTCTATAAAAATAACAGGCTGTTTGCCTACACTGTGATTTTTTGATATTTAAAATAGCTTGGATTACTCCCGTGACCTTCATCAGATCTTAGACCCACCTAGAGGGGGGCCTGTCCACACTACATCTTCCGACCCGTGGTTGAACTTTTCTGCCCCAGCTGCCATCAGCTCTGCGAGCTGTGTCCCGCCCACTGCCACTTGATTTTATACATTCTCAGCATGATTTGCAGAGTTTTGTGAGACAACAAGACTAACGACTAATTATTTGTGATTGTTACTTGTTGTGTATGCCTAATAATAAATAAAATAAAATAATCTCACAAGATATTAAGGGCTATATTTCACCGGGACACCATGGCGGCGCAACCAGTCGCCGCTACCAACAAAATGTATACAGCTCTATAGAGAGTTACTCACCTGGTGTCCGTTTGGTTGCTCAAAGCTGCATACATTTTGTTGGTAGCGGCGACTGGTTGCGCCGCCATGGTGTCCCGGTGAAATATAGCCCTTAGTGATGATGATGATGATTTTTTCCCACTTTCTAACTCTGTCTCCTGTCTCCTTATTTCCAGAGCCAGTGATGTCCACTTGAGCAATGGCGAGCGCAGGCGCAGTGCTCCTGGAGGCGCGGCCCTTCAGGCCCTTCAAGTCCTCGGAGGAGTACCTCTACGCCATGAAGGAGGACCTGGCGGAGTGGCTGACCATCCTCTACCCTGAGCTGAGGATCAACGCGGACAATTTCTTGGACAGACTGGATACGGGCGTCGCTTTGTGCCGGGTAAGTTTTATTTATTTATTACTCGACCACGTGAAGAAAGGTCTGTTTTTAGGGTTTTCTCGGAAATTATTCGAAATTTTCTTGCCGTAAAAACCATTCTTGGATTTCAACGAACATTAATAAAAAGAATTGGTGAAATTGGTCCCGGCGTTGTTGAGTTATGCGCTTACCAACACATTTTGCGATTCGTTTTCATATTTTAGATTATCTACCTACTTATAATAAATCTGTAGAGAGGTCAATTCTGTACATGAAATATATTTTCAAAATAACTATCAGGGGGTGATTAGTGAACGATACTGATGCCAAGCTATGCCAGCTAGTTATTAATAATTATTTAATTAAACCAAGGTCGTGGCGACCATGGGCCGGAAGACTTAGTGTGGGCAGATCCCCCCACTTGGGGGACCGACGATCTGGTGAAGATCGCGGGAAGTACAGCAGTGGACGGGACGACATTTTTGGCTGTAATGAACGAACGAATTCATTAAAACTTTAATGACTTGGTTTTTTCTCACCATGTGTATTACGTCAAATGTCTATGCAACATTATGAAGCTTTATGAAGATCCGTATTGTAGATTAGGTGGGTCATTCCATCGTTTCGGGTGTTACGTTCGTACACACATATTCAACAATTTCTTGTATTTTGAAATAGTATTTTAATAATATTAGTGCGTTAATCTGTCCGTTTTTAGTTGCTTTATCTAAATAATAAAATTTGTACAGCTTAGAATGTAGGATAACGAAAATATGAGTCGAAAAGTGTGCGTTTCGGGCGTTACGAGATTTTGCCTCTATGTTCTGACTGTTGCTGCATTTACTCGAAATTTAGCGAATTTTCTTAAGGAACCATACCTAAAACTTACAGGCCTTCTAAAGTATGAAATTTACAAACCATGTAACATACAATCACTGTTACATAAAACGTTTTACTATTTTTTTATAATTTTTTTCTTTGTTTCGGGTGTTACAATGGTTCTGTTTCGGGTGTTACGAGTACGAAAATGCAACTCGTTTTATCGATAAAATCGGTGTTTTATTAGTCTCTAGGTACTACAAAATAAGGAGTACAACAAATAAACACAAATAGAGCGAATTCCGGTTTGAAATTACCAAGCAGCTTTTCTTAAAAAATATACAAAGTTCAAGTTTAATTTTTCCTCAGAATATAGCTTTTTCTATTGTTTTTGGCTTGAGATAGCATTACTTTAATTTCTAATTACGATATTTAATGGAAATGTCAAACATCGAGACTTTTTAGCAATATCTTAATTTTAGTGGTAAGTCGACATTTCAAAAATGTCTTGAATAGAGAAATATGACTACTTTTCCGACGCCAGCGCTAGTGGGAGGTCGAAGCACCCTCACAGTAATACTTTTTGACTTCTCCAAGCAATATACACACATTATCGACGTATAAATAAAAATGTAACACCCGAAACGTTTCGGGTGTTACAGTTTTTAATCAAGAAAGAAACATACTAAATTAATATCATGCTCAGATATTAGTTAGTATTTGAAATCATTACTACCATGACCTTACTTTTACCAAATATTGTTATCCTAATCCATTTGTAAGGTACAATAATAAAACAAATACCTGTTTTTTTGTTTCGGGTGTTACATCGCCGAAGTAACAAGAAAACACACTTAGAACTTGATGATTATCAATTTTTTTGGGACTATGGCGCTACCTACCAATACTATGATAAATACCCTCAAATCATATAGTGAGAAAACTTTTCACAGATTGATAGTTTTTTTTTAAATCGTATTACCAATAATTAGAGAGAAAATGATCATTCAGACAGTTGACTTAAGTATAGACTTTGAAGACTAATAACTTAAAAATTACTTGTTTCTTGCAGATTTTTTTTGTTGCACATTATAATTTGGAATGTTTACTTTCCAAATTCATCAGATTTAATGCGAAAAGAACATATTTAGTTTTTCACCCTCGGTAACATTTGTCATGGAATGACCCAGGTGTGCTAGAACAACTGAATTTCATTACTGGCTGTGATATGGTAATATTACTCTTATATCTCCATAATTTTTGTAAGTTTTCACGGAAAAAGTACAACGAAAAGTTGACAACGACAAAGAAGTACTAATATTATTATGTTTAGCTTTAGGAATACCCTGTTTCTTCGATATATTGATCATTTTCAACTTTATAACGAACTGCGCCTTATCATTGGTTAGGTCGGAAATCATTAAGTGCTTATCATTACGTCGGTATCAGATAAGTATTTATGGCCTCTTTTACTTCGATAACAGAATAAACACCTACTTGTTTACCTTTCTCAGAACGAATGTTTGGTAGTTTTGGTGGGAAAAGATATTTACCGTATTCACAAACATTACTATGAGGTCTCACAGTGCGCGTGGACGCTCAGGGTCACACACGAACCAATCACAGAGCTCTATTCAACGCTGTGCGTTCGATTTGCTGCTTCACTTAAGCAAGCATTGTTTGTGATTACGGGTGTTAGTATTGAAAAATATTTACTTACGGGATTTTTTACTCACACTTTCAAGTTAATAACATAAATATGCTGCTCTATGTAGAGATTAATATGAGAAACTCCTGCTTTTTTAAGTAGGTTAAAATGGCTTTAAACTGATGTAGCTTGAAACTTAATTTATTAGTAAAATCAGTGGTCCGACAAGCCAAAGATCGTTAACTATTAGGAATTTAAGCAGTAGTTTTTAACAAGTAAAAAAACTAATAAATAAAGAAATAACTGTTAACGACTGTTTTCTGTGCCTCTTTTATCTAATCTTTAAAAAAATGTGAATATTGACTAAATCCACATTATTCACAATATATTAAATAAAGAAATCACATTATACTAGAATAAAGCTGAGTTGCACCACCTAACTTTGACCGTAACTATAACGATAACCAGTGCTTTTTGTATGGAATTTGACAGACTTTTAACGTTTGTCAAAGTTAAATTTAGATGGTGCAACCCAGCCTCAATAAAATTTTATAAACTTAAGTAACTTAGGTTGCAATTCTAATCGACAAACAAAAGATCGTGGATTCGTAAAAAAATTCTGTGCCTCTTTTCTTAATTATTTTTTACTTAATTTTAGGTTGTATCAAAATGTTAATTTATTCTTATTTATTATGACTTTCAGTGACCGTAATTAGCAAAATATAAAAAGAAAAGATTTCGACTGTCCACGTCGAACTTCGGCCTTAATATCTCTTATTTCCCAATCCGTGATTAGCAATTTGAAATTCATTATGCCTAATTACCGCGAGCTGAAGGCTTTGTTTCGCCATCTTGTGAAATACGTGTCAAAATTAAATCTGACACTAATCTAATAGGGGCTCAAAAATAATTGAACACAATTTTGCTGATCAAATTAATTAAATTCTTTTGAACAATGACTAATATATTGTTGTTAGAGACAAGATTTAATATTAAATTAATTAGGTATTATAATTACAATTATCGACAATGCCGATCAATTGTTAATTGTATACAGTCATTGTCTGTCAATATATTTTTTATGTTGAATTAATAGATTGTATTAAAATGGATCTGTGAACTATTTTTGTTCAAAAGAAACAAAAAATAAGTAAACCGTGTCCAATTCAATAATTGAAATAGTCAAAACTTTATCATATTAAATATCACCTAATTTATAAGTCATATAATATAATATTAATTTTGTATCTTTTGGGCAAGCTTGCTCCATCATCTGCCCCCTCTCGGTGAGATTTTATTAGTTCAAGTGTTCATTCACATTTATTTATTTGTGTAGGTAGAGACGAAGTAAATACCTATCTAGTAAGATTTTGGTTACATAACAAGGATTGCCGTGGTTTTAAAAGCGAAACCTCACATGAAGTTTACGAAGTTTAGTTTAACCGCAGTTTAACTAAAACGCATAGCTTTAACTAAACAACTCGTGCGCAGGGTGGTTTATTTACGCCGGCGCATACCGGCTTCACACGGAGCGATTTAGACGCAATTACGGGCTTATTACTTGTAATAGGTATGCAGTAAGTGTGAACCCACAGCTTGATTTCAATTGAGGGTATTTACGCCATATTTATACGTAAGTAAGTACATAGGGAACATAGTACGCAGAACTGACGGCCGATGGGGCAGCAAGGTTCTGGCGTATCGGAAAACACAGCAGTGGACGTCCTATGGCTGAGATGATGATGATGATGACGCCATATTTATGCATTGATAGCCACGTGGTTTGATGGTTCTGTGATTGAGGATTCGAATCCCACAGGGTGCAAATGTCGGAGTGATTAGCACCAATATTTTTTTAAACTGAGTTAGATTTCAGATCTGCATTTTTAAATTGAGTTAGATTTCAGTTCATTAGAGAGAAATGTGACGTATCCTTTGGAAACTGTCATCATCGTCATCATTTCAGCCATAGGATATCCACTTCTGAACATAGGTCTTCAGCAAAGATTTCCATAGTGACCGGTTGGTAGCGGCCTGCACCCAACGCCTTCCTGCTACCAGGCCTGGCTCACTCCGCGCGGTACATCCGATAATTACCTACAGCGAAGCGCCCCGCCGGCGGGTATTATATCAGTCGAGTGTCACGCGCTCGCCCGTCAGGACGCTGGCTTGCGTTTTAGTATGATTATAATTCTATGATCGAAGTATTATTTAAAAATGGACATAAAGAGAAAGAAATATTGTGCGGCGTTCGGGTGTTTAAATTCGAAAAGAAATTACCGGATTTATCTTTTTTTTCGCTTCCCAAAGATGCTGAAAGGTATGTTGTATGTAATCAATAATAAAATTCTTAGGATAGTATAGGATTCTTTTTTTTTCTGTAATAGTATGTTTAATTTATCTGTCTTATGTTAAAATAGGTGGGTATGAATGAAGACATTGTAATAGAACAAGTTTTTTTAATCCTAATTAGGTATATTTGAAATGTTATTTTTACTTACCTACATACGTACCTCATTACAAATAAGTAGATTAATTATTTTTTCACTAGACAGCAACCCTAACAGCGTAAGAAGAGTTCAGAGGCACGCGATAGAAAGAGACAAAACTTGTAGGTGAATAAAATTGTAGGTACGTAGTGCTG